TGGGCACGGCGCGGGGGGCTTCTTCATGTGTCCCGGTAGGATTACCCTGTCCCGGCAAAACTTCACTTCAGCAACTTGGGGAAGTGGTTTTGTTCATAGCGATTTCATTTTAAATATCTTTTAAAAGCTAAGAGAAACGAGATGTATCCCAGAATTGTAGGAATATTTAGGACCCTCTGGAAGCCACCTAGTTCAACCTGAAGCAATATTGATTGCGTGAGGAATCCCTGGTGGTGAGGTTAAATGGGAAAGGACAGAGCTGCTGAGGTGCTTTAGGCACAGCTCTTGATTATCTTGATTTAATCTGAAATGTCTTACATCTGAAAGCTGCTATTTTGTAGCAGGGAGTGCTTGTGAAATGAGCACCACTAATGGGCTTTTTAGCAAAACATGCTCTTTTCTATTTTCCCACTCCAGAGAGATTAACTGCTTACATCCTGTGAAGCAGCATTACAAAATAAATTGCCATGCAAGGAGTGTTTCTGGTTTGTTTGTATTATACGTGTGTGAGCTGCTTCCATCAGGAGTTTTTGTTCAGATTTGCTATGTTGGGTTTTGTTTGTTTGTTGATTGGGTTGTGGGTTTTTTTCTTCCTCTTCTTAATATCAAGAATCAAAGAAATCTAAATACAATATAGAATTACAGAGTGGTTTGGGTTGGAAGGGACTTTAAAGCTCATCTGGTTCCAAGCCGCCAGCCATGGGCAGGGACACCTTCCACTAGACCAGGTTGCTCAAAAAATTCTGTTAAATGTTAAGTTCTGGAGATGTGAACAAGGGGAGGGAAGGAAAAGGAGAGCAAGGCAAGGCAATGGCACACAGTATTTCATCATCGTTATTATAGAAATGATTGCCAGGAGTTTGTGTAGTGAAAGCAGTGGAGAGAAGATATAAGAAGTGAATCCCAGGTTGAAATTCCACTGACAATGTGCATCTGTCATTCTGCTGCCTTGGAAGAAGTTGAATTTTTAGAAGTTGGCAGAATTGAAGGGCAAGAGAACAAATGTGTTGACGGTGTCAATTTTTTTGGCTTTCCTCCTCCATGTTTCTTTTGAGTACAATTGCTTTCCTCAATAGCACTATTTCATTTTTGTTTTCTTTTTTCTTTTTCTTTTCTTTTTTTTCTTTCTTTCTTTTTCTTTCTATTTTTTTTTTCCTTTCTCCTTCTCTTCCTATGGTTATTTTGTGTGTATTACAGAATAACTGTTAACTGTTTCCCTGTGTGTGCTGTTTCGTATGTGTGTAAAAGAAGGATGTCCTGTAGGGACAGCAGCACTGTTCCAGATAGGGTGATGGAGGGACACATAGTCCTAGGTGTGAGCACAGAACAGGTGGGACTGTGCATGAAGTAGAAGTTGTGTAAGTGGAAAATGGCTAAAGAAACTTAGGAGCTGGTGAAATAGTTGCATCTCCTCTGCCCAAAAGTTTGTGCTCCAGCTAAAAAAAGAACAACCCAACAAAAAAAGCAAGCTGTAATATTCAGGCTTTCTTGCTTGCTGCTCTAAGTTTTACAGGCGATTGGATTTCTCCTGCTCTCCCTGGAAAGCCTTGGGAATCTGACAATAGCAGCAGCAGTGCTCAGAGACAGCCTGGTGAAGGTTTAAGGGGGAAGGTGTGTTAATTTGAAGTGTTGCCCAGTTCTGCTCTTTGCAACCAGGATACCGGTCCCAGACAATACTCCAATTTGAATATACTAATTTAAGAATAGAAAACAAAGTAAGAGAATTGTAATACCTTTAATTTATTTGGTGTTTTTCCTTAAACTAAAACAAACATTGAAAAAAGCAAATTTTTCACTGGAAAGCCATTTTCTTGTTATGTGAACACCTCTGAGATTTCAAACATTTCCCACTTCTGCATAGTGTAAAATTAAGAGCCCCTCTAATTCTTTCTGGGGGAAAAGCATCCAGAATAATTGGTCACCTTAAGTCTGTGTCTGTACCAAAATGTGGCTTTGAAACCCACCCCTTCATGCCTGGAACTAAATAGTGTTGTAATTATTGCTATTAGTAAAACATGTCCATGTAAAACAAATGGAAGTGCTAGGCATTCATACCAGCTCTAGCCATGCTAGCTCAGTGTACGTTCACCTTTTTTTTTAGTTTCATTTGGTTCAATTCTTTATAAAAAATGTGAACACAGTTTATTATAGACTGTCTGGGAAGTTCTAGAATCTCTGTTAATCTGAGGTCTTTAAGAACAGTGTATACACCGGTGAGGCATGGCTCATGGTCAGCAGCTTTGGCAGGGGGATAAATTAGATTACTTTGTGGGGTTTTCTGCAGTGCTAGGACTGTACAGATAAAGCATCATACCTCTCCATCACCAAACTCCCTTCCAGGTGAGCTAGAACACATCCTCTCACTGATATGCTTGTGTGGTGTCTAGTGTAATCACAATGCAGTGATGCTCATTTCTGCATTTTATGGAATCATACATTACTATTAGAAATAGACTGCCAGGTAGAATAATCATGTGGAAAGGTGGATATTCTGGGTGCTGAATTGGAAGTGACAGAGAGACTGACTTCCAGGTCTGCAGCCTGGGTGGCAGAGCTGGAGAAAGGAGCTGCCCCCAAGCCAAGCATGGCATCACTGCAGCATTAATCAATTGATAACACATTTAAACTTCTAAGGGACTGAGCTTTTCCACATCACATGGACCAAACAGAGGAAACAAAGCCAGTTACACATGTGCTGTCTATCACCTTCTCAAAACCACGATGTTTGTGTCGCAAGCATTACTCATATGCAAGCGTACATTACATAGCTCACATTTAATTCTTTAATTGTAACATACAAGAAAGCAAGAGGTAGGACCCAGATTCTCAACTTGCGGTGCATGTGTTGAGGTGAGCCGAGTTCTCAGAAAGCTCAAGGTTGTAGGTGCTGGATTGCATTTTTCTGAGCAGTTCTTAGCATTCAAGAGCTACTGTGCAAATTTTCTTGCCCGCTACTTATCACTAATGCTAGCCTGACCCTCAGTGAAACCTGAGTAACCTCCACACTGTTTACTGCCAAAAGACGTGAGCGTCTGTATCTGCTGTGAACCTGTGAAGAAGCCTCCTGCTGCATTGCTAACGCAGAGCAGGCAGAAAGTACTGGGCAAGCCCCACACACCTGGGGCAGCAGACTTTCTTGGACCACACAGCTCTCAGGCTTCACATTTAATAAGTGTGCTAGGTATCATACTGTGTTCAGTTTTTATTTACATCGGTGACATAGGATGCTTAGACAAATGACTTTTGCCGTACAGCACTGCTAAGCATGATCTGTGTTTCCAGGTGCACCAATGCCATCCCAAGCACTTAATGCAGATGAGGATTTGCAGCTGTGGAAAGAGGTAAGCATCATCTGCCATGGGAATACTCTGCTTTTTTCTGTGCCCATCTTTGATACAGTCACACCTCACCCTCCAGTATTTCTCTTGCACAGAGTTCAGGTGTTTCTTCTTCCAGCCGTGCTTGTCCTGTACATGTCCTACCCTGACATCAACAAAGAGGTGAAACTCCTTATTTTCCAGATTTTCTGAACAGCTGTTACAGGAGGATGTTGAGGCTGGGTGTTGAGATACTATTCTGGGAAAAGACTGTTTTGGTTCAGTGGAGAGTTATGTTTGGTAACAGCTGTCATTTAACTGTCAATGACCAGACAATCGCTGTCCTTGGAAGCAACACAAATGTCCCATTCAGTAGGTTTATAGTCTGTACATGATATGCAGGAATTGTTTCAACTCAATCAGCCTTACCTCTTGCTTCTTCTGTTCTACGCGCAGGGCTGGGACACCGTATTAAGTCCTATCCTAACCTCTCAGTGTACTACATCAACTGTGTCAATTAGCCCCCTTAACATTTTGCTACAATTGCTATTGTAACTTCCACACTCATCTTTGCAACGAACATTTGTTTTGACCCTAGAATGTGACATGTGTGTTAACATGGGCAGTTCCCTGCCCTTTTGTAACAGATGGAGCAGCAGGATGTTACATACAGAGAGGGTTTAGCCTGCAACCTGCATGTCCTGGCATTGCTGTAACATTCAAGTATTCTGTTGACATTTAATTTTGTAGCTCCTGGTAACATTAAAAAACAAGTGACTCAGCAGGGGTAGAGATGCAGAGAGTAAATTTCTTCCTATTGTGGCCATTACAGGAGACTTCCCTTACTGTTAGCTCCCCTTCATTTATGTTGGAGGTATTGACTCAAAAACAAACATATTTCTTGACTGGCATTTGAACGAACCCTGGTGATATTTATCTCTTGGGAATAAATGGTCTCTTGGGAAGTAAGATTCTAACAGCTATACGGGTTTTTTTGGAGAAAAAGTTGCATACAGTCTGGATTAAAAATGCTGTCTTACACATTTCTGCATTTATTGCCAAGATTTACTAGTTGTAACACAGGATTGTCCCTATGGTGACTGGAAACAAGGCAAAGTTCCTGC